AAGGTCCCCCTCCAGCTCTCCTGGAGCCCCTTTAGGCTGGAAGGTGCTCTGAGGTCTCCCTGGAGTCTTCTCCTCTCTAGGCTGAACAGCCTCAGCTCTCCCAGCCTGGCTCCAGAGCCAAGGGGCTCCAGCCCTCACAGAAAATTTGTGGCCTTCTCTGGACTGATTTCCAACAGGTCCCCATCCCTCCTGTGCTGAGGACCCCAGAGCAGGACACAGAGCTCTGGGTGGGGGATCACCAGAGCAGAGCAAAGGGAGAACAGAACCCCCTCCCTCGACCCGCTGCCCTCTCCCCGTTTGACACAGCTCAGGTTTGCTGTCTGGGCTGCCACCACACGCTGCCAGTCCAGCTTTTCACCCATGAGAAACCCCCTGCCCCTCACCACACACAGCTGCTCTCAGGGACTCCTCCCAACCTGTCTGCAGGTCCAGGACCAGCCCACACGAGTACAGAGGTTGCCCCAACATGTCAGACACACAGTCCCTTCACACCAGGGCCCGGGATTCTCAGATTCCCAACCAAACACCTCCACAGTTCAGTCCTGCACTGCTCTGAAGCATCTCAGGCACCAAAGAGCTTCAGCAGACCTTGTGCATCAGCTCAGACTTTCAGTCAACCTATTGCAATAGTTTGTTTTTTTTTTTTTAATTAATCTACTGTTTTCAGAAACAAGTTACTTTTTATGTAACCTATGTATAAAGAAGTATACAAAAAAAAGAAAGAAAAATCAGAAGTTACTTGTATTTAAGGTTGCATTACTACCACTAGGTTTAGCATAAATTTTTTGGGTTTGCCTTTCCTTTTGATCCAGAATCTTTCATTCTTCTCTGCCTTGAACTCTTAATTCCTGAGATTTGTCTCTGATTTCTGCACTGCATAACTGGAGAAACCCGCACCTGCTCACAAATCCCAATAAATGCAACTGGAACAGGGAAAATGAACAGGACTAAAAAGACATTGAAGACTGAGAGTCAAGTGTTGGAAAGTGCAGGATTTTCAGACAGGAATGTCCCTAAATTGTCTCTGAAGAATGACTGAAATTCCCCGGACTCACCGCTACTTCTTCCGTTTTCTCTTCTCTTTTCTCTTCCTCTTCATCAGTTTCTGCAGCAGCTCCATCTTCCTCATCACTGCTGGAGGACTCCAGGATTTCACTGATGTCCATTTTCCAGTTCCTGGGAACACCCTTGGTGCTGAGAAACGTAGCTGCCTCCTGTAGCCCTACAGGAGAAAGGCTTTACCTCACCCACAGCACTCAGCCAACAAAGCAGTTTTAATTTCCTTTTCACATCCTTGCAAATGACAACCCCAACTTAAATGGAATGAATCCATCACAGAGTAGGCACCCTGATTTACTACTCTGCTCTTTTCAAAATCTCATCATGTCTTAGATTGCATAAAACATGAAGAGCATTTCCTAAAGAGATGTGACGTCAGCGTTTGGAACAGAGGGAAAACACAGCAGTGAGGAGGGGAGTGATGGGCCAGGCTGGAGTCCCACTTGTACAATGGAAATATCTGGAATTCTTTTGCTCGAAGAGGTGCTCCAAGGGGGAAACAACAGAGCCAAACAAACCCAGATAACCCTCAAATCTGCCCCTCAGTCACAGGAAGAGACTTTAATAAAGGAATCAGAAGAATACCCAGAAGAGGGACATCCTGCAATGAAATTCAGTGCTGCTGGAGAAGAAAAGGCACCAGTTCTAAACAGCTGCTGACAGAAAAACCTGCAGACATTGGTCCCAACTCTCTTTTTTATTTTTTGAAACCATTAGTACCTTTGGTTCCAAAATACTCCCTCGTGGCAAGGAATGTCACAACCCAATTATGTTCTGCACAGGAAAAAAGTCCCTTTCTTCAATTTATCTCAAACCTGGCATCTGATCTTTTTCTCTGGCTGTTCTAAAGCTCTTGGACTGTGAAACAGCTATTAAGGAGAAAGTAGAAATCATTAGGAGTTACACTAATCAATCAAAACCACCTCAAGCTCTCATTTGTAGCATGTTAAAGCTTTACTTGTTAGGGAGCTGTTCCACACCTTTACTCAAACCAGAGGAACTGCTGTTGTTGAGGTTTGGGTTTTTTTTTTTTTTGTTGCTGGGTGGGGTTTCTTATTATAATTTTTAATAAATAAATCTAAAATATTTATCTTTAACAAATTTCATATCCAAAGATTCTCTAATTTATCCCATTTAAAGTTATTCACAAAACATCCAAGAGCAATTACTAGAAATCAAGACATCAACACTTATTTATAAATGTTAAAAGTACTAAGAAATAATAAAATTATTTCTTTTAATTTACCTTTCTTAGGAGAGGACTCAGATTTTGGTAAGTTTTGAAGATCTAATTCTTTGATGTCTTTTCTTGCTATTGAGTAACTGTAAAAGAAGAAGGATTTGTTCTTTTTAAAGCACAGAAAAGCAACCATTTGACTTAGAAAAACAGCCATTTCTAAAATTGTCAAGATTTAGTAAGGTTCTTTCTAACAACTAAATGCATAAAGCACTTGTTATTGCAGTGTCATACAAGAGCAAGTTACTCAGAATAAGTTTCCAATCTTTCAGATTCAGACATTACAGTATCCTTAAATAATTAAGAAAAGTTTGTAAAGCTTCTCTATTTTCAATGCTTAACCTGCACAAATCTGCCAAGGTAAAGCACAAAGGCCAAAATCATTTTCTAAACTGAAAATATTCCCGTGAATCAACAGCTGCTCTCCAAAGAGGAATCCAGCTGAGAGGGAAAGAACAAGTCCTCTGTTTTCCAACTGCATTTCTGGTAACACAGAACAAGAATGAAGCCAGTTCCCAGATCTGCACTGACAAACAGCTGAGTTCGATTTTTCAATTACAGGAATGTTCTACCAGCACAACATATGGAAGTTGCTCTGTTCTAAGGTTATACTGAATATATATATTTTTTTTTTCTCCTTTCATTATTTCACACAATCTGCAGTAAAAGCTCAGGAGTTGGAGGCTGCCATTTTCTGAAGATTGTAGTTACAGTGTGTTGGGGCAGATGCAACACAAGTAACAATGAGGAGAAATAAAGGGAAACAGTTTTAAAAATCAGTCTTCACGCTCTTATAAATATCTTATTCCTTAACTAAGACACACAGCTCTGTCTGTCCCTCTCTCCTCCCTTTTGGAGCTGAGGATGGACCAATAGGATCTTGCTTTCTTTTTGCTGCAATCTTGTTTGGATTCTCTAACTATTTTAATTAACAGGTCTCTTTAAATTCTCTCCTTTGTTGGAAAAAAGTAGATTAAGGCCTTAAAAGCTTTGCTGTTTTAACAGCTGTGGACATCGTGGCACTGGAGGTAATTGGTCCATCAGATATCCAAACTACAACAGACAACCATAAAGATAACAATTAAGACATTAAGGAAAATAATTAAAACCAAAACTCGCACTTCAAAGGCCAGAAATGATCTAAGGAGTAAACACCTGGGTGTTTTGTGGGTTTTTCTTTTTGGTTGGTATTTTTTGATGAAGCACCAGAAAGTTTAGTGATTCAAGGAATTCTTATCATTCCAGCTGATGGGGAGAAGGGTGAGGAAGCACAGAAGGAGATGGCTGGAAATGGACCCTTTCCCTTGGGAAGAAATATGCAAATTAGTCCCCCATTTTCTCCCCCACATCTCCAATAAAAGTGAGCAATCACTTACAATTTGGAATCTGCAAAGGATCGAACTAAACACTGGTCCTTTTTCACGGTGACGTCATCATTGCAGCTCGGTGACACCACCTGAAGGTTCAGAGAAAACACTTTTTTATTGAAGAAAAAAGAAGTTGACCTTCAAAGGAAAGAAAGACAGCAGGAAAAGTGATGTTTTCCTGTTTATTACAGCGTAATTTCCAGTTCTGGGAAAACAAATCTACTCCAATTTATGCTACTAAGGTCAACAATAACAAATTTTAAGAAGCAATTTACCCCAAACTATTACCTTGACTTGATACGTGCAAGCCAAAAAAGCTCAAAATTTCATTTGTAAACTCAAAACTGATCTACTGAGGTTCCATCACTAGGTCCTGTTCATTCACTCTGCTTTTTAATTCTTGTTCACACAAAACCTGATTAAAGCATCTATTTAAAAAGTCACAAACCCACTTATTTTATACCAGTTTATATAGTTTGGCATTTAAACTGAGACATTAAGTTGGTTTGTTTGGGGTTGGGGTTTTCTTGAGGTGTGGATAACATAAACCAGTGTGAAATGCAGCCCATCCTTCCACAGCAGGGCTATCTCTAAGTCTAGAAAAGTGATAAAAATGTATCTGTGTTACCAAAACCACAACAAGTTCCCATTTTGCTCTAGGCCACACACAAAGAGAAAATGTGAAATGCAAATACAGGGCCTCCAGTGACTTCATCCCCTAGTTAAGAACCACGTTAAATGAAAATCTGTCATTAATAAAGGGATACACAACAGTCAGAACATGCACAAACCCACATTTTATATACAGCAGGACAAGCCAGGGTCAATTATTCACCCCAAGTTACACCCCAACGTTCTCTCCAGAAGGGAAGACACCTGGTCTGTGTAGGGAGTTCCTTTTTGCTCCTGGATTCACACAGGGAAATACAATCTCAAGCTAAGAGATTTTAACAACTCAGCTTGTTCCCTTAAGACTCAAAACAGAGGAGTGCAGAGTTCAGTACGTAAAATCTGCAAGAATTAATGAACCAAACCTGTGTGTTTAATGCTCCAAAATACTTTTTGTTAAGCAAACACTCCAGTGGGTACCAGAAGACGTGTACTGAGCCTGTCTGACAACACAAAAAAGTTTACTACAGAAAGCAACTTTTACCATGTCTGTGTGTTCCTGTGCACGTGGACAACCTGCAGAGAGTCTACTTTTACAGTACCAATTTACCTGGATTTATTTAATCTGTATTTATTTCAGCAGTGGCAATGAACAGCTGTACTGACAGTGAAATAAAAATCACCCCCACCATGGACTGCCAGTGCAAATGAAAGCATGAAAGGAACGAGAATTCCACAAAACCCAAAGCCAAATGAAATGTGGTTGCTCTTAAACTGCCTGGGAGTGCAAGTCCTAACACATCTGATTTCTGGAAGAAAAATACCCTCCCATCCTGATCATCCTGCACGTAGTTTTGAAAGACTTTAAAGCCATAAAACTGCAGCTTACACAGAAGTGTTAATCTTTGCTTCCCTACTCTGCACAGATACTGGAAAACATTGGTATTTTAAGCAAATCTGGGAGCAGAGCTGAGCCTGACAACATTCCCAGCTTTGCTGTGACAGGAACTCACCAGAGCTGGGTACCAGTCTGCCTTCTCTGCATTCCAACTCACACTCACAACCTTGCCAAGCAATTCATCGTTGAGGCGCCTTTTGTCTTCATCCTCTTCTTCACTGCTTTCTTCTTCCTTCTCATCTTCAGTACTGAAACAGCAACATGCACAAATTTTTAAAGGGTATGTCTGAACTTACTACCTGAGAGCAAAACCAGGTTTTCCTTCCTGTTTTGTAAAGCTGCAAGAAAACAAAGTTGGAATTTTAAGAGCTGAAATTGCTTGAAATACTCTCAAATATTAAGGGTACTTAGTAAGAGGCATTTTGTAGAAATTCTTTCCAAGTATCAATATTTTACAGCAGCATCAGGTTGGAATTGGAGACTTGAATCAGGTTTTGACTGTGCACAGATATGAAACAAAGAGAAATGGTCTCTTCCCAAGAAATTTAAAAACACTTTTTTTTTAAAATCTGTGCAGTGTAAAGGTTAAAAATCCTCCATTTCCTATCAGATGAATAAGCATAAATGTTCTAAAGCAAAAACCCTTTAATTTGATAATATTGCCAAGATACAATCGGTGTGCTGGAGCATTCCGAGCTCTGCAGCTGCCTCAGTGACGGCAAAGGGACACCAAAAGAAAGGCAAAACTCACACAGGAAGAGAAGATCTTCTCCCTCTATTGGATTTCTTCCCAATAACTGGAGTTCCAAAGTGCTCTGGGTTGGTTAGTGGTAGTTGGTCAAGTGTCTACATGGAAAAAAAAGGGGGAAAAAATGAGTTTGCAGTATCTTATTATAAAAAAAAAGTGAATTAACTACTTAATTTTTATTCCCTGCCCATCAGTGTCTTACCTCACTTTCTGCAAAGTGCCTTTCTCCCTTCAAGCATAACGAAGTTCGTCTCAAGGTCCTTTCATCTCCATCATCAAAAACTAGGATGAAGCCAAGGAAACACATCAGTGATCGGATCTGCAACCCAATCTTCCTGTTTATCTCAAATAAAGAACATTCCCCAGCACAGGACTGTCAGACCTCCCTCCACTTATCCACAAGCAAAATGAAGGTCACTCCTCAATATTCAGCCTAAGAATAGATTTTCACAGAGTATGAAGCCAGTAAAAACAAGATTTTTGGGTGCAAGAGTCTGACTTGGATATTCTTCTTATCAATACGCTGCACATTTCAACCCACAGGCGCTATTACCTAACCATCTTTGGGGTTTGTCTGGTTTTGTTGGGATTTTTCTCACCCTCTCCATTTACTCCTCACTTATGCTACTGTTCAATATTGTGCAATCCCACTGAAAAGACAAAGGCATGGAAAGGAAAACAAGGCTGGGATGGGTTTCGCTGCATTATCAATATTGCCTTACAAACAGAGCAGGACACTGGGAATCTGAACCTCCAAGTCAATTTCTAAGGAAAATTTAATAGACATCCCATTAAATCTCACGTATAAGTGACAGGGAAGCTCCACTGATTCCCATCAATATATAGCAGATGAATTTTGGCACATTCCTATTTAAAAAAAAACAACCATCAAACAACAAAAATCTCTTGAGCCAGCATGAATATAAAATATAATATTTCTCCAATGACTAACCAGAACAGTCACTTTCTCACACTTTTAGATTAAAAGCATTGACTGCAATAATAATTTTATAAAAAGGTATGAATATAAAACTAATTAAGCTTGATAAGATGAGCTTTAAGGTTCCAGAATCTTCAGAGTAGATACTACAGAACCCGATACTTGAGAGTAAATAAACAGAAAGAATCTATTCCCAGATTCCTACCTGGATTAAGACAAGTCTATCCCAGGCCTTTTCCTGTCCCTTCTCCCAGTTTTTTTCCAGCTGAAGGTGCAGGATTGGTCTGTTCTAACAAAAACTGCTGGGCCCTTGCCATGCAGGGCACAAGTGCTGGGCTGCTCTACATTTTCCAGAGCTGAAACTGGTGGACAACACAAAAGAAATCCAAAATCCCATCTGAAATGCCTCTCCCAGCACTGAAAGGGAAAGTCCCTGTGTCTTTATTCCACATGAGAAGCAGCAATCCCAGAAGGCGGAGAAGCACAAATTCTCAGACCTCCTTCCTGAGCTGCAGCAGGGCCAGGAATTGGCATCACCACTAAATGTGAGTGTAGAGAAATCTGTGAGAGCAGCCAGAACTTTCTCTGAGCAGGTAGGAGATTTTGGGTACCGATCTGTGTTGTGGAAAGGTGCAAAGCACCTGCAACTCACAGTGTAGCTGCACAGCTTGGAGCAAAACATCTCTGCAGAACAACACGGTGTAAGAGAACAGCATAATTCAAAATATTTCCTTAGTTAAATCAGTGACCACTCGATAAATTCTCAACTGAGAAAGGACAGCACCGTTTTTCATTCCCAAATATTCAATTATTTGAAAGACTAAGCCGAGGCCAAGTAAGAAATCTCTCCAATAAATCACAATGCCTGAAGTAGTTGGTAACTGTAGCCACTTTGAACTTGCTTCTCCTCTAGGGAAAATACCTGATTGTGCCTCACTGAAAGGGTAATCAGAAACCTCCCTGATAAACTCAGCAGCTTCACAAACACAAACTGAGGAGGCCTTGTGGTTTCCATCTCACTTCTAAGAAAAATCTGCTTCCCCCAAGAACTGATCATGTCCCTTCAAGAGGGTATTGCTACAACTCCAAATTCTCCCATGGCACAAACTGCAGAGGTTGTACTCCATGGGAATGATAAAATTCAAGGAATTCTGTCACGCTAAAGAGGGCAGGAAAGCAGAATGGAAGGCAGGGAGAGCTCTCCCATTCACATGAAGTCCCCAAGAGGTGTGTTTACAGTGCCAGGATGCTCCTCTTGGGGGAAATGACAGCCCTGGCCTTGCAAAGGAACAAGTGGGGAAAAGCAGAAGCCTTTGAAGTTCTTTTATTTCCTCATCTCGGGGAGGGACTTTCTGGGGCAACAGGGTGCAGGAGGTGAGGGCTGATTTCTGGGAACCCAGGATCCAAAGCAGCCAGGGAACTCCCACACACCATCTACCAGTCAATGACACAAGGTAGGGACGATGAAAGGAAAGCCCCATTTGTGCTGGGGGTGCTCCCTAATGATGAGCACTGGCACAAGGGGGAGGAGATGATTTAAGCAGCACAACCTGGAGGAGCAGCTCTGTTATAAAGATTGTTCTGATCCCAGGAACAGAGGCCAATCTGCTCCATCCAGAGCATTTTCAAACAGTGACAACAGAAGAGAAATGGTCTGAATTTTGCTGCATCCCAACCATGTCAATAATGACGGGAGAGAAAAAGAATTGATTTGTTTGTGGAAATCTCCACAATCCCAATCTATGACAGAAAAATACAAATAAACTTCTCAGTGGTAATCAGTGCAGGACTTCCCAAGAATTAGGAAAAAACTCTCTTGGTTAAAAACTTGAGAAGCTCAAAAATGCACTAAAAGGTGCAACTTTAAACTCACTATTAATGAGCAGGTACCTTCCATCCCCTGACTGCTGCAGACCCATTTATGCCATTAATAAAAATAACACCAACTCTGTCCTCACAAAACCAGTCTCAACATCAGCTTTCACTCATATTAAATGTTAACATTATTTGGTATTAACAACATTAAATATTTATATAAATATTAACAAGTGGACTAATCCAAGTCATTTTTAGGAACTGTGAAGAAACTTGACACGAAATACTGCAGATCAGTTGAACTACAACTTGTTTATAAATATCCCCAAGACTGAAAAGAAGAAGAAAAAAAAAAAAGACAGAAAAAGGAGAACAGAGCAGAAACATCCTCGTAGCAGTTCTGGTATGACCTACACACAGAGCAACAAGGCAGTTCTGGGACAGACAAGTGAGCAGGGAAAACAACCCTCAAGGCTGCATCTTGCTAACTTCAAAATCCAACAGGTTATGTTCCTGGTGCTGCCCAAACCAGCAAAGATTCCGGACTGCACAGAAAGGAAACGTTTTCTTCTCCTTCCCCATCCTCATTCTGAAACTTTTAAACCCACCGAGACAACAAAAGTCGGTCCTATGAATAAAAGCAGCTCTGGTGTCACTGCGTACACTGAATTATTTTCACTGCTGCCTGTCAAAGCAGTGATTTGTGAACTACCAGAGAGGCTGCCTGTGAATGTCTCAATAAATGTGTGCGAGTTGAGCAAACATTTGGGTTTCAGCAGTGGACAAAGCAGGGGAAGTCCCAAGAGTCGTGCAGCACTTGTTGCGTGACCCTGCAGCCAAGGGCTGTGGGACTGATTCATCCTGCAGGAGCGACACAGTGGATTGTGCTACTGACAGACCACAGCACTCAGGTTGATTGTTTGGTAAATAACTGTAAGTGAGCTCCAGTTCCTCTTACACAAACACATCCGAACTACGCCCGAAAATACAGAAGTGTGGCCTCTGAGACTACACGCGGAAAACAATCACCTTCCACAAAAAACTGTGCTGCTGAAACTACTTTTTCTGAAGTGTTACATCACTCTTACTACTGTTACACACAAAGGGATTAGAGAGACAAAACCTGCCTCCTTGCTTTCCCTACAGGACTGCACTCCAGGCAAATCCAGGGTTTCCTCCAAACCGGCGTGGCACTGGCGGGTGACACACACGCACGGGCAGTGACGCTGCGGTGACGTGGAGCTCAGCAGGGTGTCAGGAACTGGTCAGACCAGACCCACAGACACGAGCAGTGCCCTGCACACCCCACAGATCAGCAACAGCAAACCCACAGCCTTCTGGTGGGGGTGAACTCGGGGGGCTGAGGGGGCCCCTCGTGGCGGAGCTCTCGGATGCGGCGCAGCCAGAGCCCAGCCAATTTTTCAGCATCTCCACGAAGTATCAGAAGAGGAAAAGTTATTTTCAAAACAGGAAAATGTGGCTATAAATAGGTCCCGTTAGCAACCCTGCTCCTGAAGTCCCAGGACATCAGTGTTGGTTCATTTGCAGCTGAATATTCTCAGAATTAAGAATTGGAAATATCAGAATCCAAACAACGTGAAGGACGGAACCAAACACTTGGCACCTTTAATTTCTGCCACCTGCCCTCCCAACACAGCGACACAAAGTGATGCAACTGAGACTTTGCTTCATTCCCTGAACAACTCAAGCTGAATTCCCAAAACTTCACTTCCACAAGAATAAGAACTGAGTTAATTTAACTCCTCTCAGCACACACTCACTCAGCATTCCCTGGAAACTGCCACATCAGAGGAGGAAGTTCCCAGCACAGGTATTGGGCTCATAGAGGAGCCCCAAAAGTGTGTCTGGAAGTCTTAACTCTAAAAAATAATGAATCACGTCCCCTTTCACCCCAAACTGTATATAAAGCCCTAATATTGACAGCAAGGTCTGTCAGAAACTGTAAATGCCGCTCGCTGTTTTGGGGTTTTTTTCCCCCTATTTCTTACTCTAAAATTCAGAGGAAAATGATAGAAAGTTACCGTGTTTTCTCTTTCTCTTTTTAGAAAAACCTTTCCATTATTTAACTAGCAAAATAGAAGACTCAGGGTATTTAATCAGCTTTTTTCTTTTGTTTCAAGCTGGAGATCTGGTAAAGGAGACCTAATCCCACCCAGATTATTGACCTGGGTCTTGTCCAAAATGAGATGACACTTTGATTTTAAGGGGGCAATAAAAACCAGGCCACAGTAACAGCAACTCTCAGACCCTTGTTCAAACACTTCTTCTCACTCTTATAAAGGCATTACATCACTTCTAGTTCTGTGCAGAAGCGATACAAAAGTGTTTCCTTCGAGAACATCTCTGTAGGGATTTCTGTTTTCTGAAATTCTGGCAATGAGGGGAAGGAAAACACAACTGTGCACTTTGTAAGGTGTGGTCTGGGTTGTGGTTTCTCCGTTTTCCAGTCATTTCAGACATTATTTCAGCATCTACCTGAAGCATTTTACAAGTTAACAGAGAATCAGGAGGATGGTACACTCAGAGAGCCACAATTCAAACCTTGCTAAGCTGAAAGAAGATCTGACAGACCATTTTAATTCTGTGCAATTATCACCCAACAACGCATTCAGCACTTCAAAAGCATCAATGCAGCCCTTTCAAACTTGTAAATTAAGGAAGTTCAGTTTAAGTAACTGCATTTTAAAGATTAAAACATCATAGAAGCACTGAGGTTGGAAAAGAACTCTAAGATCAGCAAGTCCAACTGAGCCATTTGTTAACCAAAGAATATAAACTCCTGTTACTGTCACTCCAGATCTGAGAGGCCTGCCTTGTGCACTGGCATTTTAAACTGCCACTCCAGAAAGCTTTTGATTCTTTACCTGCTCCTCCTGAAAAGCTGAATTTCACAGGTGATTTCCAAAGTGTATCCAAACCACAGCTGAGAAATTCAGACTAAACGGCTGCAGTAACATTGTTATTACAGAAAAAGCGGAAAAGTGATTCTGTGGGAGTTCCAATAAAAATAAATCCTTATTTATTCTGGGTACATGAACACCACTGATAGACAGGAGATACTGTTAAAGCAGACAAACTGCTCAGCACCGTGGCTCTTGCACTACGGTGGGGGCAAAGCAGCCTTTTACTCAGCATTTCTACAGGCTCAACTTATTGACCAAAGAGAAATTGTTTCAGGTGAGTTTTCTTCTTCTTTAGACCCCTATATGAAACAGAGAGCCTGATATGCAAAAGTGATCATCACCTCGCATTAGAAGTGCAGGCACTTGGTTCTGGTGCATTTTTTTAGGTATCTGTACTTAATAGTTTGAAAATGTCTGTATATATTACCGGTTTCACTGTATCAGTCTACTTTAGGATCACTGAGAAAGAGATGTGAGGTAACAGAGAAAATAAATACCACAGGGAAAGCACAAATTAGTGAGACACAAGATTTCCATCTCAAAAGAGTCAGGAAGATATTCTATAAACCTGCAATCTGCCCAATCCACTCCCCTCTCAACTGTTCAGCTGGGAGTGCATCAGTGAGACTGAAGCAGAGCACCCACCCTCTATTAAAAAGGAACCAACTCAACTGGTTGCTTCACAGCAGTAGAAATATAAATATACACCTCATATTCACCCAAAACTTCCTACAGACACACACTGGAGGCAGCAGGCAAAAGACAAGCCTTGTTTTTCACACCTCGACCTAAAACACTCCCCCAATTTTACCTGCAAAGTAACCCCGACACAAACTCGATCTTCTGCTTACTCTGGCCAGTGTCACCTGTGCTTTCAACACCAATCAGCAACTGGCCCCAAACAACTCCCAGAAATGTTCCTGAGATGTAAACCCAGCGTGTTCCAGTTCTATTTTCACAGTCACAGTGCCACAGTCCAGCACTGTATGTTCACTTACCATGAAATTATTTAATCCCTCCCCTGAGCTCCAGATTTTTACAGAATCCTACCAGTCTTAATATATTTGTTTAAGGAAAACATTTTACACTCCCATTCTGCCTGTCAAAATATAATTTTGAGGGGAAAGAAAATGACAATAATTAATTATTCCTTTGGTTCAAGTTTCTGAGACACTGGACTTTAAAAAAAAATGTATGAAGTAAAAATCATGGCATGCATGATTTATCTCAAATTACTGGGGACAGTTCAACAACTTGTTAAATCTAAACAACAATCTACTAATACAGGACAGAACACTTAATTCACTGTTCAAATTTCCTGCTCATCAAGTAAAGATTTTTGGCAGAAGTGCACTGCTCAAAAGAAAAGGGAAAAAAAAAAAAAAAAGGAAATATAAAAGAAACAAACAAGGAAAACCAGAAAAAACTCATCCCCTGAAGAGGGGATTTAAAGTTCACATGTCAAATGGAATAAGACAAATATGTCCTCTGGTCCAAATTCAAACAGAATTAGCTAAAAACGCTGCTTTAAAACTGAAATGAGGAGTTTTAAAAGGAAAATGCTAATTCATAAACCATGAAACTGTTAGTGCAAGCCTCTGTTTCTTGTTGCTTCTGTAACAGAATGGTGAACCTCAAAAAATACACAAAGCCAAGCTAAAGGTCAGGTGTTGTTCCTCGAGTGTGGCACATCACAGTTCTAAACTAAGCAGATTTTAAATCTTCTGCACTGCAAAATAATCCTGCCTTCCCTCCCTGACCTGACAGACACCCCAGTTTTACAGCAATGTTCTAATCCTGAAGGAAAAGGCAAAGAGCAGTGAGCTCTGTCACCCAGCTCAGAGTTAAACACACACTAACAATAATAATCCCAGGCTGACAAATTCCAAGCCATCTGCAGAGCCTTCTGATCCCCCCAAAGGTGGCATAACCTCACCTGCTGCAGTGGAAACACTGAGAACAGCTTCTTTAAATCTTAAAGGAGGGGTTAATGAACCAAAGTAATTAAAAGTTCATGGGATAGAAGACTCCTCAGGAGAGGAGGGAAGGGTCTGAGGTAAAGCTGAATACATTTGGTACACAAGGCAGCCAGTGAGAAACACACTGTTCAAATTTACAAGCGCTCATCTCAAAAGCAATGCCCAAGAGCAGCACGTGCAGGACAATTCCCAGGAGCATGTTCCCTCTATGTTATTAGTGAATAGAAGGCTCCAGCCCTAAGAAAGTTGTGCACAAAAGGGATGGGTGCCTGCAAATCTATCTAATTCAAAGACTGACCTTTTTTATTTATCTACTATTATTTGATTGTTGTTGGATTTTGTCATTCTGCTAATAAAGATGTTTCAGAAAAACCTGGAGATCAGAATTATTCCAAGTAGGAAGATTTATCTTGCAATGAATTCTTGTTCAACACTGACCAGGTGGCTGACCCTGCATTCTGAGCTTTTTGTTCCAGTAACTGAGTCTCCAACATGAGAAGCAAAGTACTTTTCCATTTCACTTTTAAGATAACCATTACTGGAAAATTACATTAAAGCAAATATTTATATAAATGAATGTCTCCTCTTTTCTTTTTAAAGTGTGATATGTTGATTCTTTTATTTTAAAAGAAACAGATTCTGTCTTCTCTTGGTGCTACCCCTGTTTTTCCTGTGTACAAGATGGCACACAGGGAAAGAAGGCTCCTATTTCAGTCACTCATTACATGCCACGGGTTTTCAACTAGAAGAAGAATTACGAGGTTTATGCCTTAAAATCTGCAAAAGTTATTCTGAATTTCAGTGAGTGCAACTGCTACCAGAGTAAGAACACTGTGTCAAATAAAACTTGATTATTCAGCCCTACAATTACCTGGGCAACCGACTCCCTGACCATCGAACAATTATTACCCTAATTTAAAGGGCAAAGAAAATCACCGGATGGCTTTAAAAAGACCCCTCCAAAAACTATCTGAGCAATACAGGATGTGATTACTTCCATTGTCACCTGTAATTAGGAATGTGTTGCTCGAGGGTTACAGACAGCAGATGAGACGTGTGGCTACTCACCCACAGTGTACCAGCTCGCGTCCGTCAGCTTGCTGATCACGGCTTCCTGCAAGGAGCCGTCGGGCATTTTGGTTTCAACCATTGCACCAACCTGCAAAAAAAGGAGCAGCTCAAGGTCACCTGGGAGCCCAAAATCACCGTACAAGTGTGCAAAGGAAGAGTTACTTTTCTAAACGCTCATTTTTGGTAAATGCCACGTGCAAAGTTTGGTCACTTAGAAGGCGAGAGCAAAAGTACTGCAAGTAGATACTAAAGCAGAAACTCAGATCATCTCATGTCCCCGTGACTTAGAGCATCACAAGAAGTCACAGAGGGCTAACCAAAAACAAACACTGAAAGTAATTAATTTTATTACTGATAAGTATGCCATTACTACTATTTCTTATACTTTAGAAGCACTGTTACACTGTGGGCTAGATCAGAACACACTGGTGGTTCCTGTAGGAGCTACAGAGAAAAGACAAATATAAGAAAGATGATCATCTTTGAGGAGCTCAGTTTGCACTTGGTGTTTATAACACAGCTCTGTATTTTAGCACACAACTTCTACACAGCATAAAAATACAAATATAAAAATACTTGGCTTTGCACTCAAGTTCTCAATTACTTCTAATAAGTTTCAAAGTTTCATTATTTATAAAAAGCTTTGTATAAGCCAAATCAACGCAGGCAAAACTGTTTATCAAGTGCACTACACAGACAAGTATAAACAGCCCATAAAGCCACAACAATTAAGACTAAATTCCTCAGAATCCATCTGATCTAAAGGGATGGGGCTCTCCTTCTTTGACTTCAACCCTGGAGAACAGGTATCCACCTGAACAGCATCAAAATTACAAATCAATGATGTGGTTACCAAAAGAAGCCACACAATTATTATACATACTCTTAGAGGTCCTTTCACTTGGTCATCTTGCACTAATTGAGTTGAGTTGTCCCCCTTCAAGACCACCTGAAAGATATTAATGAACTTTTAAGATGCAGCTGATTTTTCAGTAACATACAAAAAAAAATTTGAAAATTTATTTGTAATAATAAAGATCTAATTTTCCAAATTATGATTATCAATCAACTGGACTCAACACTTGGCCTGGACCATTTTACTGACGGGAAATCCCAAGTATCACATTTAATATTTATTCTGAAAAATCACAATTAAAAGAACAGAGAAAATCAACCATCAGCCATTCCAAAGCAAAGGAAATATGTTTTTAGATACAAGTTTAGATATGGACATAATCCAGGGTATATCTGGAATTTGGCTTCCAGATGAGAAGATTAAGCAAGTGGTTTTTTCCCCCTCTCTACTTCAGCTGTAGAACTTTATTGACAACACACTGAGTACCAAACTACAACCAAAACAAAACCTCTCTTTATTAAAGAGGTATCAACAAATCACCAAACTGACTGCAATACCAGCATTCCTGCTGCCTTGAACCAGAGGAAGTTTTGATGGCAAAGATGTGAGCGAAAATAAGGATCAGTTAGAGTGTAAGTAAACAATTCTCCCCTGTGTTCCAGAAGGTACCAGCGGTGAGACAGAGTCAACATAAACCTATGCAATTCAACAAAAGAAAAAAAATCCACAATTCCTATTTTTTCAAGGACCAAAAGTTCCATGAGCTCCCTTTCCACCCATAAAATGTCCAGTTTTCTGTCTCCCCCAGCATTCCCCCAAGGCCAGACTCCACTGGAGCTGTGTTTACAGACACCCCACCAGTGCCACGCCAGAACATCATCACTATTAACACACGTTCAGGACAATAATGCCCTTTATGCTGATGTCCAGTTCTAAATAAAAATGGCATCACGAGGAATACAGGTTGTCCTGCTACTCAGGAAAAGGCTACAGGACTCTCTGGCCTCTCTGCACTCTTGGCAGGCGTGCAGGGTGTGCCTACACACTCTTAATTACAGTATCAGGCTTAGCTTGTTAAAACTTCTATTGTTGTAACTGAGATTCAGCGACAGGAATTTCCACCGAGTCCCAGCAGCCTCAGACACTTCCAAATCTTATCATGGAGTAATAAAGCATCTGATTCTAATGACAAGAAGAAACTCCTACCTATTAACAGTCTAAATACTCCACCAGACCGAAGATGCAGACACAAAATCAAGGTTGTCAGACCAGCACGGTGCTTCCTACAGAGCTGCTCATTAACACAGATTTCAAAGAACACAAGTTTCTCCAAGTACTCATTAAGAACAGGGAAAAGACTCCAATATCTGAATTAGGGTTTTTTTTTTTTCTATTGATGAAAAGCACTCTGATAAAGCGATATGATCTATATTTGTAACTGAAGAGGCTGATGGTTTGTTCTACTTGATTTAAGCATTAAAGCACAGGAAAACTTGGATGTGTAGCTATAAAAAGCAGCTTTCATCTCGATTTGTCAGGGGGGTTTGGGTCACTAATGCCTTATTTACATATCTTGGACAGTAGACACTAAAGTAGGAAGTGGGAAGACTTTGACAAAACAAAGCAGAAGAACAATTTCTATATTTACTTTGAATTCTTCACTTGCACGTTTTCCTCGTTTCCCCACAGTGGCATTTACAACAGCACTGCACCAGCAAAATGACAACTTTCTTTTTTGATTCCATTCTTTTTTTGGCAAAACCCAAACGTATGAATGATTATGACATGCCAGTAATGTCCATGCACAGGAACTCAGCTCCAGCCAGGGCAAGCTGCTTTAGAAGCAGCAGCAAGAGGCTCAAAACTTAAAAAATATTACCCCTGACATCGCTCAAACCTGGGCTAAGAAACTAGTTAGTCATCCCTTGTGCTGTTGATTTATTTTGGCATTGCCTCTCAAGTTCCAAGCTCTAAAACTGAAAGTGTCAGTTGGAATGAAATGGAACTTTTGCTTCAGAAGAGGTTGCTCTGATTCCTTATTAGTCATGTAAAGCCATAATCCTCTATTGGTGACATCAAAACTTACTGCTGGGAAACTGATGCATTCAAAAATAAGACAAATGCAGTCAGGAAAGAAGCAGCAAGAAAGCTTGGTTTTGTATCAGCATCTACTAATAAGAAAACAACAAGATCTCCCCCAAAATAAAGCAAAAAAAGAACAAACAAATATCGCCCCAAGCCCAACAGCAAAACACGAAAAAATCCCGTGCAAGTGTCGCTTAAAGTTCCCACAGCGAGGTGATGGGAGGTCTCCTGATCTTCAGGACTGGCATCTCCTCTGACAGCCCTTCCAGCACGAGGCTTTAACCAAAGCAGCAGCAATCCCAGAGAACTACCTTGACTTTCACGAGCCTCTTCACCGTCTTAATCTTGGCCTCGCAGAAGGCACCGCGGTACTTGGCACTGACATCGGTCCCCACTGTCAGGTAGGCAGGTTCATCTGCTGCCTGCAGAGACACACAGCAGAACAACAAAGTTTAGCCCCCAATTTAATGTTTTTATCCCCATCATTTATATATTTCATCCTGCATCTAAACTTTCGGACCTGTTGGCTTTTAATTGACAAACGCTGCTCGGGCTGGGAATTGCCCAACGGAGTTCTCCAAAAAGGAAAATCAAAACCCAACAAACAAGTTACAGGAAGTTTTATCATACACCCCCCCCTTCGTTTTCATTGTCAGCCTCTCACAGAAATATCCTTGAAGGTACTGAATTGATATTTGGAACATCTTGTAAAAGAGCTAATAAAGGACGACTAATTCAAGTCATTTCTATACAAACCAAAAATATTTCCACTGCAAAAGAAAGCAGTATAACAGACAGTTGTACTTTTTCCAGCTATAAGCAATCCAGTGACACAGATTATTTAAAACGTTTGAGATTGGTGTCATCCCAATACTTCCAATTAAGTCTATAACATTCTATATATAGGATTTCTTTCCTGGTGACTAAAAGGAGACCTCTAGAGAAATCTGTTGCAGTCTTTCAAACAGCTATTAAACCAGTATTTTTCTTTCTTTATCAAACCTTAATTGCTTATGAGTTTTCAAAGAAAATTATTTGTCATCACGTTTTCCTTTATCTGGACTTTGATACCTTAATACATTTCACTTCGCTGCTCGTTGCAGCCGATAAACAAGGACAAAATTACCACGCTGAACATGACAGGAAATCAGCACAGAACCTAAAACAACTGACTTTACGTGCAGGGTTGTTTTTTTTTTTTTTTTCAACTCGATATTATTTCTTCAGCTCTGAATGCAAAGGCAAAAGTTTCTCTCTCTTTAGTAAATCACACTGCAATTGTTGAGCCTTTGTAGCGAGCAAACCGGCAGCAGCAAAGGCGGGACAAAAGCTGTGGTTTTGCAAACTTGCCATAGCAGCTGCTGATACAGGAAGCGTTTAAAGACGGGAGCCCAAAGGACAACAACAACAACTCCGAGGCGACGGGGATGTTCCGAGCGCTCCTGCACGGCCGCCAGAGCTCCGAACCACCTGCCCCTCGCCGGGGAGCAGGAGCAGCTCTCACGGTATCCACCGAAAGCCGCGTTATTCCAGCGTGAGGTGACTGAGAAGCGATTAAAAATGAAACCTCCAGCGCGGCGGGCGAACAGGGCGGCGATCCCCGCTCCCGCCGGAGCCGCCTACCTTCATCTTCGAGGGTTATGTGAGGGATTCCAGCTCCGGGACTTCTCCTCGCACGGCACAAACACTGCAGAAAAAACACGAGCGGGGGAGGTCTGAGGGCTGAGCTGCCCGTGAGGGGCGGCGGGGGGAGCCCGGGGGAGGCGGAGGGAGGGAGGCGGAGGGAGGGCCGGGGGGAAGGAGCCGCCGCCCGTCCCGGCCGCGCCGAGGGAGCGCGGCCGCCGCTTCCCGCCGGGCGGCCCCGCGCCCCGTGCGTGTGTCACGGCGCCATTTGCTCCGCGGGGCTCGGGGGCCGCCGGGGCCGCCGCCGCTCCCGCTCCCGGCTCCGGCCCCTCGCAACTTTCCGCGGCCCCGCCGGGCC